TTCTTACCATAAGAACACATTTTTTTACTGTATTTAAATGTAATTATTGTTGTCCTGGTTTGAGCCAGCATAAAGCAAATTTTCTTTTTACTTTTTTTTTTTTTCTTCCGTGAACTCTCTTTAAAGCAGCACACTTGCTGAAACTAGCCACAAATTTTCCAGCCAGTGAACTGATAATGCCCAAATGTTTATAGATACTGCTGAGAGACCAAGGAGACTTTGCTCTACATGTCAGATTTGCTGCTTCAGACACTAAAGTAGTGGAAGACTCTTATCTACAACCTTCCTGTAGGGAGGAGGAGTGGACTAGACATATGGCAAAATTGGTGAACCAAAGTATTCCATCCATATTTACATGGCTCTTGGTATAAATTCAGGAATCACGGAAGTCAGCTCCCTTCTTCTTCCCTTTTCCTTCTCTTCTGTCCATGGCTGGTGCCCAGGGAGGACTCCATTATCCATCACCACTGATCCCCAGGCCCGTGCATTCCTGACCCTCACAGCTTTCCCCTCAGCTCCTGTCTGCTCTGCCTCTCTCTCCAGCAGCTCCAGGACATTTCAAAGCTGCTCACAGCTCAGGAGATGCTGGGGGAGTTGCTGGGGGTAGGGGAGGTGACAGGGGGTTTGCACATTCCTGCCCTTATTTGTATGTATTGGTACATATTTTATAATTAGTGTTTAATTAAGCTGTCCTGTTTAATTTTCAATCCAGAAAGTCTCTCTCCCTTCATTATCTCTCTCCTTTGCTACCTGGGTGGGAGGGGGAGTGGATCAGCATTGGTTTAACTGCATATCCTGAGTCAAACCATAACAATTTTCCATTAAAAAAAACGGGCATACCAAAACAAAAATGAGTTTAGTTTGAGAACTATTACCCACTTTAGCACACAGTCAACACTATATAATTTCAAAGACTTATATAATACCCTGACTCATCAAATTATTTGACCATATCTTTAAAGTGCTTTGCTGACTCTCAAATACAATTAACACTTGGTTGTGTACTTCAGCATATCGACTTACGTACCACATCCTCCTATAGCCAGTGGAAAAGAGTGGTACAACTTATCAAATAAATCCTTTTACATTTTCAGGTGTTACTGCTGTAATTTTCAGTCATGTTTCAGTGTCCTTGGAATATTAGCGCATAAAACATATGCCATATGTATACGTATATAGGTTGTCAAAAAGTCAGTAAAGATAAGTCAGGAAGCACACGCAGTCACTTTGGAATGCAATACCTAAAATTTGGAAACCATTATCTCTGAATTTTGTGCGTAGATTCAGGAGTATTTAAGGACTTTCAAAAAGTGTTGTCAAAAATTATCAGAAAATTAAACAGAGACAATGTATAACATACTTAATTAAATAAACTTACTGTTGTGTATATACTGAGTGACAGAGCACTGGAACAGGCTGCCCAGGGAGGCTGTGGAGTCTCCTTCACTGGAGACATTCAAAACCCACCTGGATGAGTTCCTGTGTGATGTGCTCTGGGTGATCCTGCTCTGGCAGGGGGGGTTGGACTAGATGATCTTTCGAGGTCCCTTCCAACCCCTAGGATTCTGTGATTCTGTGCTACTGCTACTCTGGTGAGATCAAAATTCTTTTGAAATATGGACACGAAGAGAGTGATTACTTAGCTCCAGAGAAGGGTAACAATAATGAGAGCTTTTTACTTTTGCATATGCTTATACAAGCTGAATTAAAATTTCCACTTTCCTACACACAAAAAAAATCTGTCCCTTCAATGCCATGGCTCATCTCCATGCCTGAGATGTATTTGTTACAGTTATATTCATGTTTTTGGTTCAACGGCTTTTTCTGATCACTCTCCATTGTAGCTGCTTCTTTTAAAGCCTAAGTCATAGTCTTACATAAAATGGGAATTTTAAACTAATCTCTACTCTCTAGTCTCTCTTCTTCATTCCTCTTCTTCATTCCCTCCTGGGAGGGCAGTGGGGGGTAACAGAGAGCATCTGTTACCTGGCTATTGGCTAAAACTGACAGTATTTTTTAAAAATAAAGCTCTGTATAAGTCATGTGGCAATACTCCTTAATAAAAATTTTGCTTTAAAAGGACACTACTCTCTCCCACTCTTTTTTTTTTTTTTTTTTATTGGTCAGTTAAGTAAAGCAATTGTCTTATTCAACTGCCTGTCTAAATCATTCTCACTATGGAAGACAGATAAAGAGACTTAACATAATGTGACTGATAGAAATCAGAAAAAAGAGGAGAGATATGTAAGGTAAGACAGAACAAAGCAGCCTTCACCTAATTTTATTGCATTTAGAGTGTGATACCAGCGGTTACATTTTGAGAAGCAAATTAGAGAAAAATCTGCTCAAATGTCCTAGCTCAGAGGCACAGGATTTTGGATATTGGTTCGTTTTTCTGAGTTAAGGCTGAGCTGTTTCACATTTAAATGACTTAAATTTAGTTCTATATAGCTAAATCTGGATGGAAGCCTGTTCCTTAGAACAGCTCTGTGCTGGTAAGTACCTCTGGTTCCCACTTTCCTTCTGTTGAGCAGAGAGCAGTGCTTGGCTGCTTCAACAGGAGGGTTGTAGCCCAGTCATACAGTGACCTACAGCCTGGCAGTGAAGTCAGGTGCTCTGAATGCAAGTCCCTCAAGGCTGACTAAACTTGAGGACCTAAAATTTGCAACTCGTACCACTGGATTCTTGTGCAACAGAGGGTGAGAAAAGAATGGGGATCAATATAAACTACTGGCTTCCCAATGACACTTCTGCTCCATTAGAAGCTGCTTCACAAAAAAGGACATAATTACTGGATAACAAATGCATGCTGGCTTCTCCCACTTCCTATTGTTCCCTATGTAGTCAGAATTATATACTTAGTTTGGGAGAGATGATCACTTCCTTTTGAAATCTTTGAGGCAACACTTTCTACTAATTATATAGAGAATTGCACTGGGCATTCTTTCCCTCTCTCTTTTTTTTTTTTTTCTTCCCCCTGCTAATTTAGTTCAGGCATCTAAAATATAGCTGTGTCCAGGCTCTATGTATTTTCCCAGAAAATCCTGTATGTTCATCTATACTATATGTTCTAGTACATCTTGAAATGTCTCTGGTGTTTTGAAATCATATCACTGAACAAGACAAGTGACATTTCACTTCTATAATTATTCTAGTCAGTATGGAGGTTTTCAGTTTAAATATTGGGAAATATCTGCACCATCTAGCTTTAGGTATCCAACTCTCATGCTTTGAATTCTCTGGAACTAAAGTTCCTCTCTCTCCAGTGATAACATGAGAAATTCAGACTCCTAAACAAAGGTGTTGTGAACTGCATCTTTCTAGAGACCTGAAGAAGGATGAAACATAGTGAGGATAACTCCTGAGTAAATCTGGTGTTCTTAGGGAATGGACCAATCATAATCTTGGGATTTTCTGAGGAGAAAATACTTGGTAAATTTACATGCTGTTTCTATAATTTTTGAAGAAATTACCTTGCAGTAAAGTTCTTACCCTTCTTTGGAAAGGCCTCTGTAAGTCAGGCTGCTTCCAGAATTTTGTTTGGAATCCTCTGTTTTAAAGGGTTGAGTGCATAAGCTAATACTAATGATTGTAAAGATGCACCAACAAAAGTAGAAGACTACCATAGGCAACAGTATGACAAAGTCTTTGGTCCTCACATTTTAAAGCTTTCCAGTTTGTTGCCAAAGCAGGATTTCTATGAGACAATTCATGACAAAGCAATATTGACAATAAAGCTCATTGCCAGAGCTTTAAACTAGATTTGAAAGGGAAAAGGAATAAAGCTCAACCTGCTGTCTGCTATGAAGACAGGCTGAGAGATTTTGGGCTGTTCAGCCTGGAAAAGAGAAGGCTCCTGGAAGACCTTATAGTGCCCTTCCAGTGCCTGAAGGGGCTACAGGAAAGCTGGGCAGGGGATTTTCAACAGAGAAGATAGTGATAGGACAAGGGGTAATGGTTTTAAACTGAAAGAGTGGAGATTTAGGTTAGATATTAGGAAGAAATTCTTCACTATAAGGGTGGTGAGTAACTGGAACAGGTTGCCCAGAGAAGTTATTGATGCCCCCTCCCTGGAGGTTTTTAAGGCCAGGTTGGATGGTTTTGTGCAGCCTGGTCTAGTGGTGGGGTTCCCGGCTCATAGCACAGTGTTTGGAACTAGATGGTCTTTAAGGTCCCTTCCAACCTTATTCTATGATTCTGTGATTCTGTGATTCTATGATGCAAGATTTTGCACAGAAGCCTAGCTTCTACATAATAAATCTGGTATTGGTCACACAAATTCTGCTAACACTGGAGTGGAAAATACACTGTAGCCAGAAGTGGTGCCTGGTTGCAGTGTACAGTCAGGTTCTAATACTAGTGAAAAAGCAATTGTTGACAAAACCCCTTGTCAGTTCATGCAGCAAATCTAAATTGCAGAAATATCCTTATTACAGTGAGCAACTAAGACATTACCAGCTTTTAGGTGAACATAATTAATCTGGTCTCAGAACTGCTTGTTTCAATTAAACTAGAATATATTGTACACGGATGTGTACATATATATGTGTGTGAGTTTATAGCGTAGCCTGGAAATAGTAATAGATGTCTATGGAGATTCAGCCAAAAAGACTAAGTAAATAGACCCAGAAAGCAGCAGTCATGAAGTATAAAATAATGTGGAATCTATAAAGAAAACATAGTAGCTTCACATATATTACTAGCTGTCATGCTATGAACACAACCTTTAATAAATCATCTTCAGAGATACAGTTTCAAGAAAAAAAGCAAATCTACCCTTTTAGTCTGAGGCCAAATCCCAATGCATCTGAAGCTTTCACTAATAATAATGTAGCTTTGCACATGTTTCAGAATTTGGTCCCAGAAAATATCCCAAGAAAGAACTAAGAGCATCAGTGATTAAATGGAATGAGACATCCAGATACTGAACTCTTCTGTTTGCATTTCTCTCAGAGCTTCCTGTAAGACTATCTTCAACTAGAATATATGGAATTACTTACTGTGCAAAGTGTCTCAAATGTCTTTTCGGAGACAAAGGATCCATCAAGACCAAAAAGAAAAATAGATGCATAAGAAAGCATCCCTCCAAGGATAATAAGGTTGTTCATGTAGGGACTGGACATCTTTATTAGTCTACGGACAAAAGGTGATAGTGCATTAAAGAGGAAAATATTACTGCCAGGCTATTATAGCAATAAAGAAGAGCTTTTTGTAACCAGGCAAACAGAAAACATTTCTTATAGAACACTGTGAAATCTATAGGCATGCACATTACTTGCTGTTTTATAAGGTCTGGCAGTGTTTCAGGTTTCTTAATGTGTAGTAAAAAGATGTCCTGTTTTACTGATGGATTAAGTAGCTAGAATTAATGCTAATAGCAGGCAGTCAAACATAATTTGAAAAAAACAACAAACACTTTCCAGACAGTATAAAAGAACTTGTTTTACCAGACAATCTGTTTCAGTGTGAATATATTACACAGTGATTTCAATGAAATTGTTCTAAAATATTTTTTCACAGCTTTAACATTTTTCTTACATAGATACACATGTATATTATACATATATCTATTGATGACAGACTCTACGAAGATGGCATTTAAATATGAAAGAGGTAGTGATAGAAGTAACGCAAATGCCTTACTTCTGATTTCTGTTTTTGATATTAAAGAACAGGAAAGCACTGGCCATTATCATTCCTAGGATGGTGAGGGCTGAGAGGATGCTGTAGAGAGGCAGAGAGATCTTGCGTAGCTCCTCTTGTATAATTGTTTTGTCCTTTGGAGGCTCCAGTCCTAGAATAACAAGAAGAAAAAAAATAGGCTAAAGTTAGCCAGATGTTGAATTTCTGTAAGAAAATACAGTACTCTCCTCACTACTATACTTTAATTTAGAAGATTTATCTACTGTTAAAAACACCAGGAGCTCAGAAAGTAATTGAATTTGACATATGTTAATGACATCAATCGACAAGGAGGTTTATATTTCTGGAGTAGGTAAACATCATCTTTGGAAGAAAACACACAATAAAACTCTACTGCAGAACCCAGTAAATTAAATGCTAACTATCCTCATCTAAAAGAGTAAATAAACACTAAAATGCATACTGTGACCATGAAGTTTTCCAGAAGGTTACGCTTTCCTGAAAAAAAGTGACAGAGCAATGAGCAGAAAACAGAGGGCATGGTTTCTCAGCACACTGTCATTATCAGCAGGACAGATTCAAATTGCCTGTCTGGGTACCCGCCCCAGCCTTGATGGGGCATCACTGGGGCAGGGACTGATGGCCTCGGGGGACTGAAATGGGGACCAGGGTTGCCACAGGGTAGGGGAAGCCCAGGAAGGAAGGTTAGGTGTGCAGGGTCGTTAGTGCCCTTGGGAATCTACAGAATAAAGTAATATGGAAAAATGCACAGCAAAGGTTTTACAGTGCCAGACCCACTTAGCAAATCCCTGCAGATGTTGACTTGAATGTCTGAAGTTAGAAACTATGTTTAAAGCTACGTGCTTGAGAAACAGTCAGCTCCCACTAATTAAAGGCTTCTTGGTTTAATGAGAAGAATTACTTTCCAACAGCTTCAATAACACTCTGCATCCCCTACTTCCTGCACTCTAATTTATCTGCGTACTACATTTTTATCTTGTTGCAGCAGATTGGCAAAAGGCCTTTTGCAACACTGTCTTCCTTCAGAAAGGGATTTGTGTTCCCTACATTGCCACAGCCTGTCCTCTGTGGGCCTGTGAGAACAAGCACACCAGCCAAAGCAGCTTCATTTCAGACAATGGCTGCACAGGCAGAGCTCTGTGGACCCTCTGATGACAGGGCTATAACTGACTAGCAGCTGCCATAGCTACGTTTCATGTCCACTCTTCTGCTTTGCACCCCGAAGGAGTGTCAAGGTTTTACACAATAAAATAGCATTATCTTTACCAGTTAAACTGAAACAATTCAGACAACAGAAACTCGCTATCTTTTGGTCTTTTTGTTCAGCATTTCTGCAAAAGACATTTCCTTTCAGATGATCAAAATAAAGTGACAGTCAAGGGGGTTTCTGACTTGGTATTGGAGAAAAGAACCTGAGATTTCCCCCTTTTCCCTTTTCACCTCAGTACATGCATTTACGGTGCATGACACTGCAAAAAATTAGGCAACAGGTAGCAAAAAAGCACGTCTGAATTAAAAGAACTAATATAAAAGAAAAAACTTCCTGCTTCCAGTATCTACAATATGCAGAGTATAATGATGATTTGTATTTATTAATAGAAACAACCAGTGATTCTATACAACTTATTTTTCTTATTCGTGAAATGGTTGTTTGATTCTATTGCTTCTAATATAATTAATTATTGTTCTCTTGTTAGTATTTTTTTTTTTTTTTTTACATTATCAAAATGTTGTGCTTTTTGAGTTTTTTTCCAGAATTCTCGTGGGTTTTTTTAAGCCCAGCTTGGCTCTCTTCACAGTAACATTTCTGAAATGAAAAATCCTAAAGCAAGTCTTTAACAGTATGCATTCTTGCAAACTACATACAGCTCTCTATGTCATTCCTGTACCTCTTTCCAGTTTTCTGTCATACCTTGGAACCTGATGCTGTTGTTGATCATTTCCAGTGTGTCAGCCACAGCATTATACTCTCCCACTTTGACTTCCTTTCTTTCTGCAGAGAAAGAAACAAGAGTGATTGTTTATGGCAGTTCACATGCTCTCAATTATTTAACTGCTTTTGCTTTCTTTTTTGACAGTACGTCAAAAGGAAAGAAATATGCCTGAAATGCATGAATTTTTGAGTTTTTTTCCAGAATTCTCGTGGGTTTTTTTAAGCCCAGCTTGGCTCTCTTCACAGTAACATTTCTGAAATGAAAAATCCTAAAGCAAGTCTTTAACAGTATGCATTCTTGCAAACTACATACAGCTCTCTATGTCATTCCTGTACCTCTTTCCAGTTTTCTGTCATACCTTGGAACCTGATGCTGTTGTTGATCATTTCCAGTGTGTCAGCCACAGCATTATACTCTCCCACTTTGACTTCCTTTCTTTCTGCAGAGAAAGAAACAAGAGTGATTGTTTATGGCAGTTCACATGCTCTCAATTATTTAACTGCTTTTGCTTTCTTTTTTGACAGTACGTCAAAAGGAAAGAAATATGCCTGAAATGCATGAATTATTAAAGCAGAATGCCAGACAGCTAACATCATTAAAAGAAATATTTCTGATTTTTAAGAACTCATTTACACAGTCGGGGAATTGTTACTGGGCATAGACATCTCGAGTTTAAAGACCACACACTCACACTGTGTAGAATATTTTGCTGAAAGAACAGATATGGCTAAATTACATGTTCCACTCACATTTAAACAACTAGGACGTCTTGATTTGTGAAGTATTTCCCAAAGGAGTCATAGTGGCAGGCTCCAGCCTATATGGTGTAGACTGTCTAGTTAATAGATACACTGGGAACCTAATCTCTTAGTCTGACTGGGAATTAGCAACTCATTAGTACCCTGACTGCAAAACATACTATGTTATATAATTAAAACTAATGTGCACTTCAGCTAAAATTTAGCTGTTACACTCATCTGCTATTTTTGGACTAACAGCACATATATGGTCTTCATCTACCTAAAGGAACAGAATAATGCAGATACACAGGAGCGACATTTGTTTGGCTGCTGCACTGGCACTATAGCTGGAACCGCGGCACACATCTGTCCCACTCTTCTGATGACATCTGGCACCAATTAATTTCTGCTATTACTGCTGGGGATTTGGTACTGCTTAGAAGTGCAGAAACTTACTAAATTATCACTCTTATGCTAAAACTTTTATATTTTGATCAGAGACTTCTAAAACACAGGTACACGGGCTAAAGTTTACTTTGATGAGCGGGCTCAGCAAAGCCAAAGATTTCCTTTCAGGCCTCTATGTCTGGGCATGCACAACCCAATTTACATTTAAATTCTGAGCTCATGACCCGATTCATGACACTGATTTTGGGAGCTGATGATCTTGAACTAGATGGCAAATTTGAAAAGACTGTATTTCACCCAACAGCTCCACATTAACCTTTCCTCCTTTCTCACTCAAAGTGATTGTGCCTGTTCAGCTCTGCTGAAAGAAGCAGCTAGCTCCATTTTAGTAAAATCTGCAGGCTGATTAATACTAATCTGAGAACTCATAGGAGGCAAGAGTTTTTCTTATATAAACCACACTTTTTTTGTTAAAATTATTTACGCAGAATTGTAGACCAGGCTGAAAATCTGGCAGAGATACCTGAGTATTTCCTATATTGCCATCAAAAGCTGAAATTTGCAGTACTGAAAATAGATTTGTCTTTCACATGAGCATGATCCACTTCTGGGGCCCCAAGACTAGTTTTGAATAAAAGCACACCCCCCTGGTCTGTAGCAGCAGTTTCACAAAGCCCATCCACACAGAATAACATTCTCTTAGGAGTAAATGTAAGGTTGTACTTTCCATCACTTGCAGAAAATTCTCTGTGAAATAGATATATGCACAAACACTTTGCAGTCTTAAGCAATGAGATCTTCCCAGTCGTCATCTAAAAGCTAAAACGGTTACTGCTAAAACTTGAACCAATTCACTTCCAGCTGTATTTGTAGTACAATAGCTGTTACCTGAAGATCTAAAACATTAAACACAACCCAGAGAGAATGACAACAGAATTCATACCAACATACACTTAGCACATTAGGTGCCAGCATCTACTTAGACCGAATATGCACCTTAACGTAGCTGCAACTTCACAGCAACAGCCTAAACCCGATAGCTCTGGTGATCAACAAAGAGAAAGGAGTGATTGCTCCACAAACATTTCTGTGTGGAGCACTTATTGGGACTAGATTAGATGTGAGAAGCACATAAGAGGTGGGTAAGCATACACAAATTACATAAATCTGTGGTCTCACTGATTAAGGTACTTCAACTGAGAATCTTCTTCTGTGATCGCCTCATGTGACATACCCTTCAACATGCCATTCCTTTCAACATTTATAAATTCTTATACGGCTTCCTTTGTAGATGAAGAAACACTGGGAATGTGCCTATGAAGGTAACTGCAATGTAGCACAATATAGATGGGGTAGCCTACAGCTAGCTAGCCCATGTACCAGGAACTAGCCCTTGTAGGAATGGAGCTTGGCCCACGGTGGGCTGAGCTGAAGACTATTTTGATTTAGAAACCCCAGAGTATGAAAAAAAATAGAAGTGTTTAGTACCTAGGAACTGTATTATCAATGCCTTGTCCCTTCAAATTGGCAAAGGACAGCTTGTAGAGTGCATGTCAAGGTTCAACAAAGACAAGAAAAGCCATAAAGATATTTGATTAAATCGTGGGCAGTAGTCTATGATTTTTTAGAGAGGAAAGATATAGTATCTATATCACAGTGTGATTACAGGGGTGCTGAGGAGGAGACACAGTCTTTGGGCTCTTTTCTATTCCCAGCAACAAGTACAACTACAGCTGTTGGGTTTTCATTTCCCAACATAAAAGTGGTGATTAGTGACCAACTCATCTCCTAATATTAGTTAAAGGAAGGAAGGAGGCAGCAGTATGTCTCTCTGCTCTCCTGCACAGGCCAGAATAGCTAAGCATGGAACTGCAAGCTCTACTTTTCTATATGCCATGACTTTGAGTTCCCTTTTGAAATTCTGAATTATTCAAGTCATTATATTGTTTGTATAATGTAGCTCATATCTGTCAAAATCTCTGTGTGTTCAGCAACAAAAGGATAGGAGCAAGTGGAACTCCTTCAAATAAATACACAAATAGTGCTTTACATAATTTTCAGAAGAAAATGTTGTCTTCTTTCTGTAGTGCTTTCATTATTTTTAACTTGATCTTTCTGTACTTGTGATGGACAGATTGTATTGAAACCCCCCTGCTCAGGTTTAAATGTAGAAGAAAAATACAAAGGGAAAAAGACTTGTTTTGTGAGATGTTTTGTCTAAACCAGGATAGGAATGGTGTGATTTTAGAACTTGAATCTTTCACATAGGAACAGAAAAGTATGAAAAGTAATGAACCCAAAGAAAATTGCCCCAGAAATATGTCAGTGAAAACTATGCCTATTTAACAGAATTATAAACAACTGATACTAGTCATTCCTTGTCACAGAATACATTACTGATATGGCCAAGATTAAATCCTTCTACCAACGAATAACTGCTCTTAAAGGTGAATCAAAATGTTTTCTTCTACATATTTATTACAGAAATTCATAGCCCACTTGAAGCAACTCTAGAGAAATTGATACCCTACCATTACATTAATTGGACCATATTTCACAAAGTTAATACAATAGATTTTTAATTGCATATTATGTAGTTACATGTTCCTATTGAATAAAAGCAAAAATAATCCTGAAACTGCCATCAGCTGAGTAAAACAAACTTATCAAAATGCATGACAGTGTTGTGATTGCCTGTGTGACCGATAACCACTTACACTGAGAATTTTCCGATGAGACGACGCTAAGTTTCACTTTCTTTCACTCTATGTAATAATTTCTGTTTCTGCTACATTTTTATAAGTGTACTTATTCACACTTCATGAAGATAATATCTACTGGGAGATGTTTTAAGAATGAGAGGAAATACTTGGAACGCATACGAGATGGGACAGGGATTTTCTTGTTTTCCTCTATGTAGACAACCTCAGCTAGCTCCAAATAACACTAAGGCTGTTTATATCTAAAGCTTATAGCACCTTCAAGTATGTCAGTCTGATTGAAATGGCACAAATAACCCTAGTGGTGGTGCAGTTAAGCGAATATAAACATGGTTACACTATAGATTCACAGAATCATAGAATGGTTTGAGTTGCAAGGGACCTTAAAGATCTTCTAGTTCCAACCCCCCTGGGACACCTCCCACTAGACCAGGTTGCTCAAAGCCCCATGCAGCCTGCCTTGAACACTTCATGGACAAGGCTTCCACAGCTTTGCTGGGCAACCTGTTCCAGTGTCTCACCACCCTCACACTAAAGAATTTCCTCCTAATGTCTAACCTAAATCTCCACTCTTCCAGTTTTGATCCTTTATCCCCTGTCCTTTCCTTACAAGAAGCCCTTGAAAAAAGTCCCACCCAGCTTTCCCATAGGTGCCTTTCAGAGAATGGAAGGCTGCTATGAGGTCCCCCTGGAGCCTTCTCTTCTCCAGGCTGAACAGCCTCAATTCTCCCAGACTGTCTTCCTAAGAAAGGTGCTTCAGCCCTTGGATTATCTTTGTGGCCCTCCTCTGGACTTTTTCCAGAAGCTCCATGTCCTTATTATGCTGGGGGCTCCAGAACTGGACACAATACTCCAGGTGGGGTCTCATGAGAGCTGAGTAAAGGGAGAAAATCCCCTTCCCTTGACATGCTGGCTACCCTTCTTTTGACGCAGCCCAGGACAATGTTTAATAAACTTACCATGAACTATTCTCAAGGTAAGCTGAGGGTCACTGAGGTTTCACATCTAAAGGACACTTGTGTTTTTTTTCAACTTAGAAGCAGCATAAAAAAACCCCTATATCTGAAATACAATATTTAGGCCTTAGTTTGTCCTGAAAAAACATCCCTGCATAAGGTGCTGCCTCCATGACTCCTCCTTGAAAAGTTTATGAAATACATATATATATATATAAAAAATATATATAAATATATATACTCAGGAAATGATCATGATACTCCCTGAAAACCTTACTCTGACATCAGTTTAACAATCCCTTCTCCCACTCTTTGTCAGCTGCCCTCCTTGCTTAACCACCATAATTCAGTAGGAGTGATTAGATGCTTAGTACCTTAGAAAATCTTGCTGCATATTCAGCCCTTAGCAGCCTACCTCAGGATCCAATATTATTAAACCTTGTCCTACAATGGAAACATTCAAATCTTGCACATTGTTCCTCATCCATTCACCACAGCCAAGCAGGACTGCTGGCAGCTGTGTGAAATATTTACTCATCAGATCTCTCAAGAATTTTTAAATCAATCTTCTAGATATGAATAAAAAATCATGCCACTGCACAAGAACTCACACTT